TAAGGTTGAAAGCATATTCATAATTGTTGCTATATTTCTATGGTATAATATCTAAATAAGGTTGAAAGCATATTCATAATTTGAATGATAAATTTATAAGAAAAGTAGAGTATGAGATAGAGCTACTATGAAAGGTAGGATAAAAAATAAAATATAATCATTAAATAATAAATAAAGATAAAATGAGAATAAAATATTAAAGTAACAACTTGATTATACCAAATCAATCGTTACATAAAATGAGTTTTTTTTTTCATGATTTCCTAACGATGAATTTAAACATATGATGCAATAAAATTTAAGTAATATTTGAAACAAAGGTTGTATTAACAATACAATACAATAGGTAACAACCATCCAAACAAGGTGTAAGGAAGAGTGTACATTAACTAGCTCAGCCAAGGAATGAAGCAAATTTATCAGTTCAAGTAGATTTGGAACTCCATGATCAATTCAAGAGTTAAACCAGCTACCATAACTCTTTCAACACTTATTATTCACAACCTTGCACAATTCAGAATCCCAATTTTCCAATCCCAACCATACCACAGTCATCATCGTTCTCACATACACACTTCAAAATCTTCACCTGAGCCTCATAAGCCCACAAGAAACCTTCTTCGCAAACCAATACCACTCCTTGCAGATCTCAAACAAATCCAAGATCCTGATGAAGCTATTTCACTCTTCCATGATTACCAACAAATGGGGTTCAAACATGACTACCCAACTTATTCTTGTCTTGTTTATAAGCTCGCAAAGTCTCGAAATTTTGAAGCTGTTGAATCCCTTCTTGGGTATCTCCAAACTCATTATATTCGATGTAAAGAAACACTTTTTATTGGGTTAATTCAACATTATGGGAAAGCCCAGTTAGTTGATAAAGCTGTTGAGCTTTTTCACAAAATGGGGTCGTTTAATTGTTCGCGTAGTGTGCAGTCTTTTAATGCAATTTTGAATGTGTTTGTTGATAATGGGCGTTCTGAATCTGCTAATGAGATGTTAAGGAGTTGTTCGAAGATGGGTATCTGGTTAAATTCTGTTTCGTTTAACATTATTATCAAGATGTGGCTGGAGAAGGGTGATTGGGAAATGGCTCGCCAGCTGTTTGATGAAATGCTTGAAAGAGAGGTTGAGCCAACTGTGGTTACTTACAATTGTCAAATTGGGTTTTTGTGTAAGAAGGGGGATGTTGAAGGTGCTAAAAGTCTGTTTCAGGATATGGTTAAAAAGGGAAAGAAGGCAAATGCAGTTTCTTATGCTTTGCTGATGGAAGGTTTATGTTCTTTAGGGAAGTATAAGGAGGCTAAGAAGTTGATGTTTGATATGGAATACCAAGGATGTAAGCTGAAAATAGTCAATTATGGTGTTTTGATGACTGATCTTTTGAAAAGAGGTGAAATTGGTGAAGCAAACAGTTTACTTGTGGAGATGAAAAAAAGGCGCGTTAAGCCTGACATTGTGATCTATAACATGTTAATTAATTATTTTTGTAAGGAAGGTAAAACCGCTGAGGCGTATAGGATGTTAGTTGATATGCAAATTGCAGGCTGCTATCCTATTGCAATTACATACAGAATGGTGGTTGATGGATTTTGTAAAACGGGAGAATTTGAGGAAGGTTTGAAAGTTTTGAATGCAATGTTGATGAGCAGGCATTTTCCACGTATGGAAACAGTAAGGTGTTTGATTCTTGGTCTGCTTGATAAAGGGAAGGTTGAAGATGCTTGCTTTGTTTTGGAGGAGATGGAGAAGAGGAAGAAAAAGTTCAATTTTGATTCATGGGAAGCCATTGTCAAGGATTCTTGCACTAGTGATAGGAGTGTAAGCCAGCTGTTAGATGAGCTTGTATTTTAGCTATTCGATTTAGATCCATTACTATGTCAAATCTCAGAAATAGATAACCGCATAAGACAGTGACATGATTCTTGTCTTGGTTTATAGAGTTGGGCATGCTTATGGAAGCAATTTGGCTTCTCAATATCTGATTAAACGTTTTGTGGACACTGTAAATGAAATCTCTCAATGTATTATCTTAATTTTTTTGGTGATATCATCTTGCTTTCCCGTTTAATAATTTGAAACAGAAAAGGTGCTTTCTTTGTTTCAATCTAACCATCTGATATTTGGTAATTATTGTACTGACTAATCCAAGTTTGTGCAGCATAGAGTCCATTTAAGGATAATTTCAAGAAGGGTTTTCTGCTTGGAACAAAGAAGGTACTTTCAATAGAAGCTTTTCTCCTCTGAAATAATCTTTTAAGAACATTTGTTTGTTACCCAGTTCGGTATTTTGCTTGCAGTTTTAGTCATTATTTTGTTTTTCTGCTTATGCTCTCATCTGTGTGATCGTTATGTGTTTGTGATTTCAACTGAACAACATAATTTTGAGAGATTGAAGGAGGTTTAATCTGCCAAATATGTAGTTCTCATATATATGTGTTTAGGTATTCTGATAATGAACTACATTTCCAACTAAACCTACAGCCCAACTGAAAAGAAGAGGACAACACAAACGATCAATCAAAAAGCAAAAGAAGATAAACAAGAAAGGAAAGGCTACTACTACTAAGGTACAGAATGAGAGAGAAACTGCATCTAATATTGTTCAAGAGGGAAAAGAATCAACACTCTTGGCAGTCCAATAGTGAAAGAAGGAACACATTCTATAACAAATATGACAAATCAAGAGGAAGATTAAAAAGAACCAAGCACTGCAGCCAATACTACTGTCAAAGTAGGATGAATCCAAAGAGAACAACATATCAAAAGGATACAATCTGCAGAAAATCTTCACTCAAGCACTTCGTAGAAGGAGCATAGAATGAACAAGTTGTTACCTGCAAGATCAGTGTAGATGGACTAATGGAGAAACTCAGTGTTTAGTATTAATAGTGTAAACAAAGACAAAACACAACTTGAGAATGTCATTGTAGGATTCCTTGAGGGATGTAACTACTTCTTCCAACATGCCCTAGTCTTTAATCGATGACTTTAATGTAATCACTGATGGTACAGAAAAAAGGTGTCCTTCGACAAAGCATATACAAGATTACTAGTTTCCCTTTCATAAATTATATGGTAGACTGATGTTTGGTGGATGTTGTGTTTTCTGGTTCCCCTTTCACATGGTGTAGTGGAAGGACATCAAAATACATTATATGAAAAAGGCTGGATAGAGTGTTACTTAACCATGAATAGTTGAATTTCTTCCCAAAAACTTAGGTAAGTCATGTGAATAGAACACGGTCTGATCATTCCCCTATGTTACTCACCCTAGAGGTACAACATATCAAAAGGCAAAGACAAGTTTCTCACTCTATGGATTGAACAACCTGATTTTTCAAACGCTGTGAGGAATGCATGACAACAGGAGGTTCAAGATAATCCTTTATGGTCGTTTTGTTTAAGAATGCGGAGATGATACAACATCTGAAATTGAAATTCTCCTTTTGGAGTCAAAAGTCTGGCTTCAGATAGGCAACTAAGGAAGACCTAAGCACCAAGTTCTTTCACTCATTAGTTAATAGAAGGAGAAGGAGATTGACACTAGACTTGATGACTTCAATATTAAGTTTTATTAGGTCTGTTGGGATATAATTGAAGGGGACATTGATTAATAAAGCCTGTTAATATTGCTATCTCTCACATACACATGTCTTGTTCTTCTTCCCAAGCTCAAAACCTTACACTACTATGTCGGACTTGAGGCCAATCAGTTCAAGAAATGTGTTTTTCAAAAGAGTTTTCAAACTTCTGAACAGCAGATTAATCTCACTGGTAACAAATTAATCGCTCAAAATCAATCAGGTTTGATAAAGGTTAGGTCCATAAGTAAAAATATTATGTTGGTCCATGAGTTGGTAGATAATATTTTCAAGTTTAATATGGGGGAGAGGAGAACATTGTGTTCAAATTAGACATTTCTAAAGCTTACGATAAGGAGTGCTGGTTGTTTTTGTGTCACACTCTTAGAGCCTTCGAATTTGACGAAAGATGGATACATATCATGATATGATAATTGATATCAAATATCTGCTATTCAATCAAACATAAATTGATTTAGGATTGACTTTATAACTCATCAAGAAGGCTGATACAGGGTAATTCCTTCTCAGTTCTCACCCTCTTTGTTTGTTAAATGTGCAGAATTATTGTCCAGATTGTTGAGCCAATTACCTCAGAATACTGATTTCATTTCATATGTTGCAAATGAAAAGGCACCAGTGATCAGTGATCACTCATTTGTTATAAGCTGACGGTACAATTTTTATTTACGAGATAAACGATGCAGTGTTTCTGGACAAATGCTTAACAAGGAGAAGTCTTCATTCTTGGTAGCACCATATATATAAGAAGGAAGAAGATTTACTTCCTCAATAATATGCTCAACAAAGTTACCAACGGAGTTTAAGGATGGTATAAGGGTGTGTTCGGTATGGAGGAAAACATTTTCTAGAAAACAAGTGGTTTCTTACTTATTTTCTTGTGTTCAGTATGCAAGTAAAAAGTATTATCTGAAGAGTATTTGTATATAGCTAAGACAAAACTATGAGGATAGGGTGGGGTAGAGAGGAGATAATGCGACTTGTTTTCCTCTACTTTCATTAAGAAAGTCATTTTTCTTATTTTAAAAAAAATTGTAATTATAAATATTTTCTTATAAAAGAAATATGAAGATATGTGATTTTTCAATATAGTGCCTTAGGATATTGCGATATCTTGTTTATGAATTGTGTTTTGCTCATTTGGTAAAGATTGTATATGAATTGGAGAAATTTTGATAATTTCCACTACTTGTGGGATTTTCATATTTATCAGGAAATCACAACATAAGAAATCCAAATTACATGTTTAAATAAAACGTCAACTTCAAATCAATCTAAAGTCAAATTGATTTCTATCTTTCTGCGATACTTTTCCATATCACCCTTAAAACCACAAGTACCGGCTTAAAAAACACAATCATTGGAAAGTAGGGACCAACATGAAATATGGATTAAAACCAGGGACCAGTATGCAATTTGGAGAAATACAGTGTCTCTTTGACTTAGATACAGCGCTGCTCTCTGAAACTCAGATGGCAAAAGGGTTGCAGCTATTCGTGAACAGTACACTCTCTCTCTCTCTGGATTTATGTCTGGTGGGGTTCTTATTGAAACCCTAATACTGATGCATTTGATTTTTTTGTTTGTTAAACAGGATTGTCGTTTTATACTACGAGTGAACAGTTGAAGAAGCTATTTTCACCTTTTGGCGTTGTTACAGAAGGTTAATTCGCATTTCTTCATTGTTGTTTTCCTGAAATTTTTAATTGAAAGATGATTTAATCCACTTTATGTGATTGCTTTGTAACTCTCTACAAAGATGATGTGATTTATTTTTTTGGATGACTCTGGTTTCGATTAGGGTAGTAGGTTGCAGGTAGTAGAGTGTGGTGGTGATTATCCTTACTTATTAGTAGTCGTAGTATAACTCTTGTAGCTTCTTGTTCCTCGATTTCTATTACTAATTGTTGTTGTTTTTTTGTACTTTGGTTATTGTATTTCTTTTGTATAGTTTCTGTGTTGGAAGCTTTGTTATGCTTTTTATAGTATTTTAGCATGACTTTTTCATTTCTGTTATTTCCTTTTTCTGAAATGCTTTTGTCTGTGTCTATTCGGAATAACCTCTCTATCTCTAGGTAGGGGTAGGGGTAAGGTCTGTGTGCACCTACCTTCCTCCTACCACGCTTTGTGAGATTACGTTGGGTATATTGTTGTTTTTGATGACCGTGGTGTCCAGGCTAGTTTTCGTGCACTTCGACTAATTCCATGGGTACCAGATAACTTTGTCCACTAAAATTGGGACTGGTGGGAAGAAATCACCAAATGTTTTTTTGTTTTTTGTTGGGATTTCGATCTCAACTCATACACTTCGTGATGAATTTCGTTAAAGTGGGTCTGCAAGTAGTTTAGTATTAAGGCTTAGTTAATTTGATTGATTGATATGGATTTATTAATTGGGTGAGCAGCAAGGCTTGTTAAAGATCCAAGAACGCAAAGGCCTAAAGGTTTTGGATTTGTTACCTTTGAGTCAGAAGCAGATGCCCAGAATGCATTGAATTCCTTGAACGGAAGGGTAATACCTCAGCTTTCTAAATGTGTATGCTTGGTTATGTGTGTTATCTGTATATTGAGTTAATGGAACGTGCTTAATAGTGATACGGATCAACAATGGTGGATGTACTTTGTATATAAAACTTTGGATAATATATAAGTTTTTACTAAATCTGTACCTATTGCTAGAAAGGGGACAAGGAGTTATCGTTATAGTGCTATCCCACAGTTTAAACTAGGCATGCCTCTACCTATTGACAATTCTTAGACCGCCATCTGTTTAAAATAAATTATTTATCAATCATCATGGGTTAAAGTAAACAGATATCTAATTCCAACACTTCACTGCAAAACTGTAAGCTTAAGATGCATTTCAAGCTGAATCGTTTCAGCTTGATGTTTGACTCTGTGATCTAGAATCAACCTGTATCTACTGGTGCATTCGTTGGTCGTAAGGACTTTGAAATATGATAATGGTCCTGCAAATGCTTTCGGTTGGAGTCAGGATAATCATTGCTGAAAAGGGACCAATGATCAGGGTGGAAAATGTAAGTTGGGGGATATTCATAAGCTTATAACAAAACTTGCAAAGAATATAACCATCTTAGAACAACTAACTTTCACTGGAAAGAAAGATCTAGGTTCTTGGAAGTTACTGGTTTACATAGAGACATTGTGTTAGCTGTAGGAACTGCATCTCATTATGAATGCTTATTATTGTTGTTTGTTTTGGTTCCTATTTTATTTATCTTTTAATTGAGATATGTGCTACCTTTGTTGAATTAATTGGCTCATAAACTCTTTAGTGGAAATGAAGACTTGGAAGTCTCTTGTTGTCCCAAGTTTTCCTTCTGGTTTTGCTGACAAATATAGTAGAGACGAATCTCTTGATGTTCACTGGTCGAGATGTTATATTGCTTTAAGTAGTGGTAGTCATTGAGTTACTGATAAGAAACTGGGAATTTTTTAGGATAGACTAAGTGCCTGTTTGGATTGGCTTAAAAAAAGTAGCATTTAAGTCAAAAATAAAAAGTCAAACTGAAATGACTTTTAAGTCGAAAAATAAAAAGTAAGGGGCGACCTACTTTTGGTTTTTGACTTATTTTAAGTCATTTTTTACCTTGCCAAACACTTCGTAACTTATTTTAAGTCATTTTTGTCTTATTTTAAGTTGTATTTTATATTTGTCAAACACTCTCAAAAGTCAAAAACTGACTTAAAAGTAGGTTTTGACCAACTTTTAAGTCTATCCAAACACCCTCTAAAGTTGTTATCTAATTTCTCAAATTCTAGGAAAACATGACTTAAAAATGGATGGTTGTGTTCTGGAGAAGAGAATTTTTTAAACCGGTAATAAACAAAACAAGAAAAAGAAGAAAGTATACTTGTATGCATAAAATATGTCAGTTGAAGAACAAAACTATGATATCAAACTCCAAACTGAGGAACTGTCTGCTTCCCCTCTATTAAGCCACTACCTCCACCCACCCCCCGTGGTCGCTACCTTTCCTGACTTTGATCTAATATTGGTACCTAGTTGCCACATCTATCACTGTCCATTCTCTCACTACAATGATTTTTTTTATTTTTTGTGTGTTTTTGGTGTTATTTTGGCATAATGGACATTACGTCATTCAAGACGGAAGTACCTAAACATTGTGTGCACAGATAAAAAAGATTGTTATAATTTGCAATAAACACGAGAAGTGCCAAGCAGACAGAGAAATAGAGATGAGAGAAAGCACAACTGAGAGTAGTAGAAATGTTATATCAATAATGTGAATATGTTAAGTGGCATTATCTTTTGCAGAAAGCTTCTTTTACTTTCGGGGGGGAATTTGTTTCCCAGCTTTATAAAGTGCATCTATTTTCATTTCCTCCTGGTGCAATATCTTACATTGACTGTCCGAGTTTTGTTGATTCCCATTTACTTTGTCTATTTCTGTTCTGTCATTGAAATGATCTACCGACTGCAGATTGTTGATGGAAGACTGATTTTTGTGGAAGTTGCTGAGACTACAGAAGCTGTTGAAAACAAAACATCCCAAAAATAAATTTCTCGTAATTCAGTGTACACATTGCTATTTCATATTCCAGATAATGGGTGAATTTTTGGCCATTTCTCAGTCCTCCATAGTGTTGCCTAACTTTCGAGTCCAAGCTTGGAGTCAAAGGCAGCTTTTCATTGCTCATAGTCAGCCATTGAGGTCACTTCATACCTTGACTACCTCTCGCACAGTGTATCCAGGCTTGTCTGCTGGATCGAAGCATTTCTCTTTGGGGGTCAGAGCCAGTGTTGTCTCTGCTGACTCTACAATGCCAACTACCTTTACTGTTGATCCAGCTGGGCCAGGAATCGATATTCTGCCAGAGGCAGGTGGTGGTGGTGGAAGTGATTCTGGGGGTACAAATGATGACAGTGGGGGTAGGGGAGATAGTGGTGGAAATAATAATGATGGTGGCAATGAGGGGGGTTCAGATGAAGGTGAGGATCATAACAATAAAAAGAAAATGGCCCTCTCTATGTCCCAAAAATTGACATTGGGCTATGCTTTCTTGGTTGGAGCTGGTGGTTTTATGGGTTATCTTAAGAGTGGCAGCACAAAATCTCTGATTGCAGGTGGAGTTTCTGCCTCCCTCCTGTACGCTGTTTATACTATGCTTCCAACACAACCTGTTTTGGCATCAGCAATTGGTTTCGTCCTCTCAGCTGGACTTCTTGGAGTAATGGGATCTCGTTTTCTGAAATCAAAGAAGGTTTTTCCAGCTGGTGTTGTCTCCTGTGTGTCTTTTATTATGACTGGTGGTTATTTGCATGGAATATTGCGCAGTGCGCATTAGATTCCCTAAAATGAGCAAAGTATTTGTCAACAGACTCAACACAGATAATCATTAGTATCTACTCTTTTCTGTGGATTTTAGTTTTGATATCTGTTTGAATTTGGATTTTGTCAAGTTTTCTAAGTTGTTGAGCTGCTAGAACTCTCTAGTAAAACACTAATATTGCATCAAGGGCACCTTTGTTTACCTTCTTTCTCCGTAGTGAATTCATTCTGTTTTTGGTGAAGTTTTCCTCTATTATTGCTGTTTATATGTGATTTACCACATTAGTAGTAGTATCTAGTAATATCGTAGCTTCTCTATTGTCTCCATCACAAAACTCCTTTCTTTCTGTTCAACGATGTGGACATGATATTATTGTTTTTTTTTAAAAAATCCATCCTAATTATTTTCTTGTCAAGGATTAGGATTCCAAGAACCGTTTCTTTCATGTTAAGAGTAACAATGGTGTCTACACCAAGAACTCTTCCTCAATCACTTGTTCAACTTATTCGATTACAAAACCTCCCTCATCCTATTGGCATCTTTGATTTGGTCATCCACATCAAAGAGTTCTTAGTCAAATGACATCCACTCATAATTTTATGTAGTGATTGTCAACATGACAAGTCACCGTGTTTATATTAATCTAGCAACTCAGCATCAAGAACCTTACTAATTAGTTGGTCATTATAATTTGTGTGTTCTTAATTACCAGGTATACAATTTGATCAAAAAAATGCTTCAAGTATGAAGACTTGATTGAACTAGGCAACTAGAATTTACCTAGGAGGTGCATTTTCCTCTATGAAACAGTTGTATCTAGATGTGCAACACCAATCAATGCTTAAAATGAATGAAGTTAATTACTTTTTCATATGCCCCAATAAGAAATCACAAGTAGTGTTCAATATGATACACCAATGGACAAGATCTGACATTTTAATTGGCGAATGAACATGGCTCTCAATTGTAGAGAGAATCAAAGCATCATTTTCACTTTATTGATGCTGTGATTCCTTCAACATCTAGAAAAAGCATATCATTTTAGGAACAAAAGCAACAGACATAAACAAAGAAATGAGGAAAGGAAATTGTAAAGTCGAAACAAGGGGTTTCATTGATTGATGATTGAGGAAAAAAAACTTAACAGTAGTTCCAACTAATTCCATTTAATAATCATCAGCTTCTAACAACAAAATTACATACACAGAAGATCCAAAAAAAAAAAAAACCCATTAGGAATCTAAGCCTTCTTGGGAGATTTGGTAGCTTTGGATGGAGATTTAGGGGCCTTTTCACCTCCAGTCTTCTTTGGCAACAAAATTGGGTTGATGTTAGGAAGAACACCACCATGTGCAATTGTTACACCAGCAAGAAGTTTCCCAAGTTCTTCATCATTCCTCACAGCCAAAAGCAAGTGCCTTGGGATGATTCTGTTCTTCTTGTTATCACGAGCAGCATTTCCAGCCAACTCCAACACCTGTAAATCAAACAAAATCAAAACTTGTGAGATACCCAACATGAATTTCAACACAAAAATAAGAACAACCAATCAAAAAATTGAAACCCTAGATCCTAATTGAACCAAATTAGCAAAGCTGGAGGGAAGGAAGGGAAATTTACTTCAGCAGCCAAATATTCAAGAACGGCGGCCAAGTAAACGGGAGCACCAGAACCAACACGTTGAGCGTATCGGCCTTTTTTCAAAAACCTTCCGATTCTTCCAACGGGGAACTGAAGACCGGCCTTTACAGACCGGGAAACAGGCTTCTTCTTTGGGCCTCCTCCCCTCCTGCCGGCGGCACCCTTCTTCACTTTTCCGGTAGACTCCATTTCAAGAATAGCTTCTTTATTTTCTTTGAAAGAGATAATTGATTGTCGGAGAGATGATAATTGGTAAGAATCTGCGGATGGTTTTTATAGAGATCTTTGATTGTCATTTTGGTTTTTCGGATGCTTGTTTACAGCCGTTGGATTGATCTTTAATCCGACGGTGTACATTCAATATGTCTCGATCTGCGTCATTTCAAATGGACCAATAAGAAGCGGAGTCTGTGAATTTGAATGTTGTTTAAGGTTAAAACCCTTTCTCCCGCCAGAAATATTTTGCCCTTTGGCGAAAAATTTCGAATCTATAGAATCTCAGGGGTCGTTTGGTAGAATATATAAGAATAATACTAAATAAAGTGTATTAGTAATATTTGTATTGACAATGCATGTTTTAGTTATGCTTGCATTAATAATACATAGATTATTTTTATGCATTATTTGATTTGATGCATTAAAAATAACATGCATTACATAAAAAAATTAATTTACTAAGATCCCCTCCACTATTATGATAGAAAAGATGTAAAAAAGGATTTGAGAGGTAAATGGATCTTTAATTGAGTCAATGCATGTATTAGTAATGCATACATTAATATACAATAGAGTATACAACTAATGTAAATATGCAAGCATTAATTACACATAGGTTAGAAAAGAGTATCAAACAAGGTATTAGTAATACACAAGGCTAATGCATGCGTTATTTTTCCTAATACATTTTACCAAACGACCCCTTAAAGTTTAATTCTTTTAAATTGCATTAATAATATGAAATTGTTCGTCATCAAAAGAAGGAGCCGAGAAAATTTGGTTGTTTCGATGCAGGTTTAGGACAATAACACTTGTATTTTGAGATTTCGTTTAATTCAACTAGCGCTAACCGTTTACGCACAACAACAGCTAAACCGTATAGATATTAAGGAGAGTCGTTAATGTTAGTTGTCGTCTATCCATAAAGACCTTCATTACCCCTACAATGATGATCATCTGATTTTCACTTCAATACTAAAAACTACTTCCTCCGTCCACTTTTTATCGTCATAGTTTTCTTTTTTAGAGTCAAATAATAAGAACTTTGACAAACATTTTACGATGTTTTTTTTTTATCATATTGGTGTGCAAAAATTTGCAATTTATAATACTTTTCTTATAGTTTTTGAATATCTAATTTTTTTTGTTTAAAATATTAAATTAATGTAATCAAATTTAACTTTGAAAATTATTTAAATTGACTTTTGAAAAAGTAAATACTACTTATTTGGAGTACACACAACCCTTCGCGCCAACATTTATTGATTGATTCTGGAAATGGAATAAGAATTTTTCATTTTTGTTATTTCATCTCTCATTTATTGTTTGTTGGTTAATTTATTATTTTACTGCTTCATTGACGCTATCAAGAAATTAATAGTCTAGATTTAGTACGACATACTTAAAAATTCAACTGATTTTTATTATAAATAGGTATTAAGCTAAATAGTGACCACATGATAGCTTGCTACTACTCGATTCTGTAGGACTCCCACCCCTCCCTCGAGGACTGAACTAACACAGTCCATATTGCTTCTGCTTGAGCTTGTTGTTGTTTCATTGTTTACTAGGGTTGTTTAGTTGGGAACAAATTATCTCAGGATTGGTTATTTTGGGATTAGCTATATGATATAAATGGTGAGATAAGTTGTTTCACACATGGCAATCAAACAAGACACAAAATTTTTATTCCATCACTATTTATTTTTATCCCTCACACCAAACGAGCCCTAAGTATTACAGTAGTCCGAGCTTGCTCAGGTATATATGCTGGTGACCTCATTTCCAATTTCTGCTTTTTCTTCAGTTGTACTGAAGATCTATATATACTCATTGTTGCTAATTCATCTAACCCTCTTGAGTCAACTGATTCCGCAGTTTTCCTCCCTATTTCCCTTCATGTTTTGTGCTTCCCTTGTCATTATCGCCTTCTGAGTGGGTATATTACCTATGGTGGGCGCAGGTTATGCTAACGTGCACCGAGAGAGAAAGCATCCCAAAATAATTCTTGCTACTCCCAAACATTTATTATCCCATCATTTAGTAACCATATTGGAGTGAGATACATCACTCCGCTTGAAATAGAACACTTAATTATCTCCATAACGGGTGGGTGTTTGATTTTCAAATTTCGGGTTCGGTAATGATAAAAGTAGATACCAAATATCAAATTTTTAAATGTTGGCTCGGTAATTAAATTTCGATTTGATACCCATATTGAAGTTGTAGCCAACAAAGTTAATATTATTTCTCAATCAAACACTAACAAATGGTCCTGCAAATGCTTACAGTTGCTGAAAAGGGACCAATGATGAGGGAGTTTGGGCGCCATTCATAGGCTTATAACAAAAAAAAACTTGCAAAGAATATAAGAACAACTAACTTTCACTGGATCTAGGTTCTTGGAAGTTACATATATATATATATATATATTGCGTTAGCTGTAGGAACTGCATCTGCTTATTATTGTTGCTTGTCTTTGGTTACTCCTATTTTAATTGTTTTGTTGAATTAATTGGCTCATCAACTCTTTAGTGGAAATGAAGACTTGCAAGTCTCTTGTTGTCCCGAGTTTTCCTTCTCGTGGTCTCTACCTTTCCTCACTTTGATCTACTATTTATTGCCACATCTATCACTACAGTGATTTTTTTTGAGTTATAATGGGCATTACGTACGGAAGTACCTAAACATTGTATTACTATAATTTGCAATAAACACGACAAGTGCCAAGCATACAGAGAACTAGAGATGAGAGAAAGCACAGCTGAGAGCAGTAGAAATGTTATACTATCAATAATGTGAATATGTTATGTGGCATTATCTTTTGCAGAAAGCTTCTTTATAATTAAAGTGCATCTAATTTCATTTCCTCCTGCTGAAATATCTTACATCGACTGTCCTGTCCGAGTCTTGTTGATTCCCATTTACTTTGTCTATTTCTCTTCTGTCATTGAAATCATGATCTACCGACTGCAGATTGTTCATGGAAGTTGCTGAGACTACAGAAGCTGCTGAAAACAAAACATCCAGAAAATAAGTTTCCCTTAATTCAGTGTACACATTACTATTTCATATTCCAGATAATGGGTGAATTTTTGGCCATTTCTCAGTCCTCCATAGTGTTACCTAACTTTAGAGTCCAAGCTTGGAGTCAAAGGCAGCTTTTCATTGCTCAGAGTCAGCCATTGAGATGATCACTTCATTCGTCTCTTCATACCTTGACTCCCCCTCGCACAGTGTATCCAGGCTTGTCTGCTGGATCGAAGCATTTCTCTTTGGGGGTCAGAGCCAGTGTTGTCTCTGCTGACTCTACAATGCCAACTACCTTTACTGTTGATCCAGCTGGGCCAGGAATCACTATTCTGCCAGAGGCAGATGGTGATG